ATTATATTGATGTATAGATTACGTTGATATTTCATTATTTATTTGTATTAGTTTAATGTAAATGATGTGATACTTTTCGGCGTTTATTTCGTTTAATTTGTAATATCAGTTTTATATTATCGAAACACAAAGCATTCATATCGTACAAACACAAAAGGGAGGAGATCCTCCATGTGAAAGATACGAAAGTTACATTCTGTCATCCGAATCGATAGTGCATGATATCCGTGTACCTCTTACACATATACAGCTAACGTACAGATTTAAAGGTTGAATTTATATATCACTTTGGTGTCCCTCACGGATCGTCTCTTTCGCACTCCGTCGCTACAATACTATCATTGTTATCATTATTACTGTTTCATTGTTGTCGTTCCGGTTGTTACTATGGCATTCGTTGCCGATGAAGTTGAACTGTAATTTGATAGGAAATTCTCGTTTTGTTTTGCACTTCCTTTCATCTCCTTACGAGAACAACAATTTGCAAAAATTGAGAGAGCTTAAAAAAATTTGTTCCTAAAACAATTGCATACAGTGCGCTAAACATATCTATAATTGATTCCTATCTCTTCTTAATGATGATGACCATTGAGCTGGTGAAGTTTTCTTTTCCTGAACGATATCTTCATGAATCACTTTCACGTAATTAGTCAGTAAGTGAGTACCGTTTCAACCTGTTAATTAATTACAAAAGTTTAGTTGCAGTCATTTAACAGGTTATAATCAGCGCACTTTTAATCGAATTGCTATTTAGTAATAATTCTAGTGAACGTTTCAATGATACAACTGGTAAAGTCATTATAATGTCTGTACTTTGTATGTGTAGTCGTTGCTGTCAAATTTCGTAATTTCCTTATTCGGTCATATCACTTAGAAGAGCGCTGCTGCATTTCGCGAGGACGTAAAATGCAGCTACATGGTTCAGCTGGTGCAGTTTGTTTTTTTTGCTGAGTTGTGTTGCCAGAATTGTATTATATTCATTGAAGATGTGCGCAAAGAGGCGAGCTAGAAGGTGGCGATTTCCAGTCACGTTGAGCATTTTGTCGGTTTCGATTGCGATGGTCGGTGGTTTGCTTGTCGTCGACGATAATGCAGAAGCTGCAGCAATAGAACTAACGAGTGCTAATGGAACTGATAAAACTGATAACGGAAATGAAAAAATTGATAATCACAATAATGCTGGTGCAGATCGTCAGCGGCGTTCTTATGCAAATTGTTTTGGAACTGAAAAATTTCTGCTAGTTGGGTATGCGAACTGTCACCTAACCACTGAAAGGAGTCCACCTCCTGGAATGTGTCCTTACCATACTCTTTATCAGCTCAGGTTATCAGCTTCACTACTTTGTTTCCTTTTTGATCAGTTGGTTGTTCGTTGATCTGGGAAGCCAGCCGCAGGCTGTGAGCCATTTAATTTTTCAAAGGCTATCTTTTAGGTGAACCAGGCATGTATTCAAAGGGAAAGAGAGGAAGATTATTGAGTGGGATTTGTTGAGTGAACATTGAGTTTTCTATTTTAAAAAAATACCCTATATAGTTGATGAAAATTGAACGATTCCAGTACTTATTCGCATACGCAATGGGATTGTGCGAATGTACGAATGCATTTGTTGATTGGTGATAACGAGCGACCGAGAGTTTTGATTATTGGATCAAGTCGAGATTCTGGTAATTAATTAACTTATTTTATTCGAATGTTTCTGAGTGTT